TGCCGAGGATGAAGACCTTGTACTGCTCGTCCGAGAGCGTACCACCGGCCGTCGCGTACTCTGAGCGAAGTCGCGCAAGCTGGGTGAGGACCGGTCGGGGGTCGCCTCCCTCCTCGCATTGGAGCTGGTGCATGCGGTTGAGGATGTTGACCTGAACGAAGTCGCCTTGGTTGTCATACTTGGCAGATACAAGCGCCCATGCCTCGTTGGCACGGCTCTTGGAGGCGATGTCGAGCTTGAGGGACTCGGGAACCGTCTGGAAAAGGAGTGTCTTGATGGTCGAGTGGTTGCCCAGCCACTTGTCGACCGCCGTCTCGTACCGTTCGTCGGCGTCGGAGTCCACACCAGGAGCCGTGGGCGCTTGCGGAACGCGCTCCGTACCCTCGAGGTACCGCCGGAGGCCCTTCGCGTAAACGGCGGCTAAGAACTGGGCCTTATATAGGACCCAATTCGAGCCGTCCTCGTTGAGCGCCGGGATCTTCGAGCTCGTAGTGGCCTCGGTTTGCGATAGGGGGTCGGGTACAATCTTGTGGATGTCGGCCATGGTGTGTGTGAGCGGCAGGGCTCATAACCTATTAACGGGGTTACGAGCCGACTACGGTAGGATCTAATGTAATCAGTGCCTCAGTGGGGAAAAGACTGAGGCACTGGTCGACACGAACGTCGGTATAAGTGAGCGACGGGGAGCGCCCGCGACTGATGGTGGCGGGCGATAAGCTCGCCATGTGGGCGCAGGCGCTCAGGTACGAAACCCAACGTTCTCGAGACTTCGTCGGCGCTTGCACGCCAACACACTGTTGTTCAAATGGTACCACGATGATTCGGAACCACTTTCCAGCCACCGCAAGTCAATTTCGGAACAAATCACCCGTGACGCCGAGTACATATCGCGGACGTAGCGCTTGTACAGACGCCCGCGACATCAACTGTGCAAACGGCAAATCGATATCCCTCTTTCCTTTCTACGTACAGATTCGAGTCTATTACTCGTCTAAGCACATACCTGAACCTGCACGCGATGCCTTCCTACGACATCTCTGCCCTCAAGCAGCTCTACGACACTCAGGGCTACGTGATCGTCCCCGGGCTCATCTCACCCTCTCTCCTACCGGAGCTCGAGGCTGCTTGCGCACGCGCAATCGCGAAAACCCGCGAGGGCACCTGGCCGCATCGGAGGACAGTCGGGCGGCAGTTCCCACCGTACGACGAGAGCAATCCTGACTCATGGGGCGTACAGCATGTGATGCATCCGGACCTGGGCGAGGATGCGTTTGCGCGATGGTACACCAGTGACGAGTTGGTGGGTGCCGTCTGTGAGCTGTTGGGCTGCAGGGCGGAGGATCTGCAGATGGGTGAGTCTCTCGCCCTAGCTCTTGTCTGCGCAGACGTTTGAGGAGCTGTTGTGGACTTCCGTAGAGTTATTCAACCTCCTGATCAACCCAACGGCACATTCATTTGCCCTTCGATGGCATCGTGATGATGTGCGCGAGAATGCGAGTGAAGACGAGGAACGCGAGGCCCTCGGAGTTTGGCATCACGGAGTAAGTTCCGATTACTTGATCTCGTGCAATGAATTCTCGTTTCTCGTTAGAGCGTAGACAATGTGTGCGTACACGATGTGTCATCAGAGGTGCAATTTAGCAATGCTCGCGAAGGAAGAAGGGGGTAACCCGATGCAAAAGATCAACCGCGACTGGCCAAGATGACATTTATATTATATGTGCGACTAGAAGCTGAGGCTTGACGCCCCGGGGTTTCTCCTTCGATGGATATCGGACACTGGAGTCGCGCGATATTTTCGGGTAGCACGTCTTGTTCGGCTTGATCTTCATCTTGGGTCCGCGCACTGAAACCATAGATTGTAACGCAGATTTTGGGATTTCGTGACTGAGACTAATCGTAATATTCGCGCGCACAGGTCCAATGGAACACGTCAGTCCGTCATGAGCCATATCCATCCTTCCGCTGACCACCCTACGCTCTCTATAGCGCACTTCGCAAAGACACATGCCTATTCGTCGTCCCCGGCTCCCACAAGGTGCCGCGCACGCCTGCGCAGCGCGCGCTCTCGTCCACGCTTGAAGCCCCCGTGAACCCGCTCGACATGCCTAGGGCAGTGCGCGTGACGCTGCAGCCGGGCGAGACGGTGTTCTACAACAACAACATTTTGCACTGCGCGACGTACGACGCGCGCGAGGAGCGCATCACGCTGCACGCGTGCATGGGCGAGGTGCGCGGCGGGCCGAGCCGCGCGCGGAACATCCTGCAGCACGGGCTGGGGTGGATGAAGGAGGAGCGGTTCAAGGAGACGTTGGACGAGAGGGGGAGGAGGATGTTGGAGAGGATCGTGAGGCTGCAGGAGAGCGTGGGGGAGGTGGGGTATTCGCTCGCCAATAACTGAGCGAGCGGCGGAATCTCAGTTAGGCTACTGGGAAGGCATCTTGGAAGGGGGTCAGCAGGTGAGTGCGGAGGTGATCGCTCCCCTGGATGCAAGAACTCATTGCGAACACCATTTGATACCCTCCTACAGAAATCGAGGGGAAATTGGGTGGTATCGGACGCAATGGGATATGATATGTAGGTACTGGGGAAGTCTCGACAGGTCAGTGGCAATGTACGTTTACGCTATCATGCCTAGAACACTGTTGAGCCACGATGTATTAGTATGTGCGAAGATCCGTTCGTCCACTGAACAACAAGCTCGATTCGTCCTCAGATAAGCTATATCTTATCACAGTGTAGTTCGGATTGAGCAGAGTTTTGGGACGTACGAGAATCCTGGCCAGCTCCGGAGCCATGCATGTTCTCGGTGCGACACGGGACGACTCGGAAGGCGATCACAATTGACGGACGAGATGCAGTCTCTGCCGAACTCTAGTCTTGTGACACTATGAGACTCGTATGGTCAGGACACCGGCAAATCTGGAATGCAAGACCTTTGCGCGCGCAACCGTCAGGGTAAGGATCCTTTCACTGTCTTCCAATACGATCTCGTCACGGCAGGATGCAGCCCTTCGACTATATCCATCTAGCTATTGAGCGAGAGTACCATGGAGGACTCAAGGGAGCGCCCTCCCATATATCCTCGAGTATGGCATGCGAAGCGGCAAGGGCTTGGGCGGCGGATTCACAGACGGTTTTCTTATACTACGGTGAACCATGCTTCATAATCAAATGCTTACTCGAATTCAACATCTATGCGAGGGCTGACCGCAGGAGTGCTTTCTCACTATGGGTGATGTTTGTGCGAGCAGCCTGAGGAGGACCAACTCAATGGAACGACCGTAGTATATCTGAGAGGGGACAGGAGATTGCACGACTGGACAATGCGCGGATCAGCACATTGTCCCGTAAAGAGGAGATAAGAGCTCACCGGTTGCCTATCGAAGAGGAAAGACATCGAGGGTGAGGAAATTGTGCTGCATAATCAAAAAAAGTCCACCTTTGTGCAAGTTCGGGAAAGTAGAAAGGATGACACGTACAGTCGCATGAACAGTCGAGGTAGGCAGCAGTACTACGAGTCCAATTCACAGGACCAGTAGTCGCAAGTGTCCCTCTGCGAGACCGAACGCAATCGCTATTCATGCTTAAAATTTAGCCAAGATAGACGTCCTCTTCTGGGGGATTGGGGGCTCTGCTCGTACATGTCGACTTGACCAGAGGAGTAGGGGGGAACGCACGCCCAAGGGGCGAGAGGGATAGAAAGATCTCCACGTCAAGCCCCACTTCGCGAGACACAGACGGTGATACCATAGCCTGAGGTAGGCTGAAGAAAGACAATGCGTTTAAAAGTAGTCACGTCTAAGGCGTCTGCAGATCTGATGTATAGACCTCGCGAGAGCTAGTAATATTGAAAGAGAAATTCCGCGTCATCTGGACGGTTGACGATTTAGTGGAGGTTTCTTTGGTATATAAGAAGATATACAGTGATGTTAGTACACTCGATCGTTCTCTCTGTTTGAATATCGTCACTCGTTTACGTCCTCAGTGCATGTCACGGGCCTCAACCGGTTCCAAGAGTAATCAAGGGACGGCCTTGAGGGCATGCTCAAAGTCCGCAATGATATCCGCGATATTCTCGATTCCAACAGATACCTGCACCTACGTTGAGCCGCAATCCTCGGAGACCGGAAACGTCGCAACGAAGAACTCACCCGAATGAGGTCTGGCGTGACGCCCGACGCGAGCTGCTCCGCGTCCGAAAGCTGCTGATGCGTTGTCGTCGCAGGATGGATGACGAGGGTCTTCGCGTCGCCGACGTTCGCGAGGTTGCTCGCGAGTTTGAGGCGGTCGACGACCTCACTCCCGACCTTAGCATCGTTGCCCTTGATGCCGAAGCTCAGCGTGCCCCCAAACGCGTTGGGCCGGAAGAGCCGCAGCGCCTCCTTGTGGAACGCGTGCGAGGGCAGCCCAAGGTACGACACCCAGGCGATCTTGGGGTGTTTCTCCAGCCACCTGCCGCATGTCGACGGATCGCGTTGGTGATGGTGGCGGCGGCGTTAGTCAGAGATGAAAGCAATCAGGGAGGAGGGAGGGAGGAGCAAGCAACGCACTGAGCAAGGAGGAGGGCGTTGTCGGAATGCCGCTGCGCGCGCAGCGAGAGCGTTTCGAGACCTTGCAAAAGGAGGAACGCGCCAAACGGGTTGAGCGCCGAGCCGAGGTCGCGAAGGACCTCGACGCGGACCTTCACCGCGAACGCGACGGGGCCGAACGTCTCGCTGAACTTCAGGCCGTGGTAGCCCTCTGAGGGCTCCGTGAAGTCCGGGAAACGGCCTGACTTAGCCCAATCGAACTTGCCTGGAGTAACGTTAGTCGGAGGACGCATCGAGAACCACGAATGCCACAATACCGGAGTCCACGACGACGCCAGCGATGGTCGTACCGTGCCCGCCGATCCACTTCGTTGCGCTGTGAACGACGATGTCGGCACCGTGCTCAATCGGGCGGACGAGGTAGCCTTCAACGGAAAATGAGCGCTTCGGAAGAGACCGTGGACTACTAGTTCCGCTCACCTCCCATTCCGAATGTGTTGTCGACGATCAAGGGAATACCGTGGTCATGAGCAACCTGTGTTTCACATTTAAACACTCGGTATCTCAGCGAGGCGGACTAAAATGAGACTTACCTTTGCGAGTTCGGGAAGGGGCGCAACGTTGTACTTCGGGTTGCCGATGGATTCTACATAAATCGCCTTTGTATTCTCGTCGATAGCAGCTGCATAAGCGGCAGGATCTGAGCTCTCAACGAACTTGATGCCGATCTGGAACCGCTTCAGGTATACTGAGAGACCAAGGAGACAAATTCAGGCGCGTGAACCATGGACAGTAAGCACCGTTGATTACCTTTAAACTGGTTGTAAGTCTTCCATGCGATCGAGAACGTCAGTGCTGCATCTCCGTCGCTTCTTTTCGCTATGAATGTCACTTACTCCACCGTACAGATAGGAGCTGAGCATCGTGTCGTCAATGCCCGCGGAAAAGTGAGCACGTTCCGGTCATCACGTACGTCGACACAATGTTGTCGCCGGCCTTTGCGATGGCGGTAATCGCCATGAACTGCGCAGATTGGCCACTGGAGGCCGCGACAGCAGCCGCTCCTCCTTCTAGTGCGGCGATACGCTTCTCAAACACATCCTGTCAAAATGGGTGAGCAACCCGATATCGCGTGCTCTCATTTGAGGCGGTCCTACCACTGTTGGGTTGCCTATGCGAGAATAGATGTTCCCTAGAGCCCTATAAGCTTGTTTAAATGCCGATAGGTGTACGATGTGAATAGGCAGAAAGCGGACCTCAAACCAAATAGATCAGCTCCGTGCTAGTGAAATGTTAGTCATCAATGATGCTGCGGAAGGAAATCGACTCGCTCACCTGCGAATTGTTGAACACGAAACTCGTGCTGGCGTAGATAGGTGGAGCCCTTGCATTCGTCGTCGGGTCGGGCTCCTGGCCAGCGTGCAGCTGGAGAGTCTCGAACTCGGGCTCTCTGCGTTATCGGCGCCATCGGCGCCATCGATCGTCAGTTCTACGCCCCCTCTGATCATGCTCTGGAGGCCAGCTCCGCATCTTGTACGGGTTGCACTTACTTGTAGAACTTATTCGTCGACATGGCGTTCGAATAGAAGGGCCTCGACGGACGTTCGACGCCAAGTCCCACTTTATACTGTACCGTTCAGGTGCGCGGGCCCCTGTTCGACGTGACACGCTCGTGAAATCACGCAATCGAGCCACCTGTGGCTCATCGCGACACCATGAGAACGCAAATGCGATGGCGGAGTACTACTGCGCGGGATCCATCCCAAAACAACATCGCGGAAAGTCAAAAGTAGAGGCACTAGAACTGCACCCGTTCGACACCGCGGGGGGTCTATCTATCCGTACAACGGAAGGGGTACGTAGATGGGACACGCGGTATACAAGGTCATGGGCATCGAAGAAATTTGGGATGAAGAGCCTTCGGAAGCGAGCAGAAGGCTGGACCGGAAGACTCATCTGCGCCTCATGTGGATCGATGCTCCAGACACTGGGGCGCCGAATGCAAGTCGATGTCCGTGTACAGCATGATGGTGTGTAGAAACGTGTTGCTAAACTCAGCTAGCAGCACGGTTCTTGCAAATTCTGAAGGGGCGTCGGAGTCAGGGAGATCGGGGAACTTGTTCGAAGGCTAGCCATCTATAGACCAGGACCATACGTTGGTAGGATGCCTTGTCACTTAGGAACGTACAAAAAGCGAGCTGCTAGCTGCGACAACGAAGGCCACGTACGTGGAGTGCACGATCACACCCAGCAAAAACCCCAGTTTGAAGCCCCGGATTTGCTGCGACTCGCTGCCCGCCTTCCGCGTTGTCGAGTCCCATCACCTCCTGCCCACACCCACTACTCCGATTTTCCGTCTTCTGCAAGCTTCGATAGGAAAGTTCTCACCCAATGCGAGTAGGCCTTGAAGTTCAAGTGATGGCGGAAGAACCATGTGCGGTTGGGATCATGCACGCACAATCAACAAGCCAGTCAACAAGCAGGGGTAGCTATAACAATTTATGAGCTGTGGGCGTCGTTGAGGCAGGGTATGCAATAAGGGGCAATCGCGACCACATTATGGGCGTCTTTGATCGGCAGAAGCCGACCACCTGTTCTGTGTGCATCGTCCTGCCAGTGCAACCTCTTTCTCCGACCACATCCTCTGCTAAACCATCTCTTTACCTCGAGGGTACCAAGGAAGGACGAGGGCATAGCGTGCAACTGGTGAGTCTTCCGTGCATGTCTCATGTCTCTTCGCGGTCCGGTATGCGTCCGCATGCAAGCAGCGGCGTGCAACAGCTCCAGTCCAGCTTTGGCAACTCACAAGTAACGTTATGCTGGTGTAGGCGGAACTCTATACGAAGACACGGCAGGCAAAGCGCGACGGTCCAGGTGAGGAAATCTATGCTAAATATACGGGCGATGCAACGTGCCCATAAGATTTTCCAAATCACAAAGAGGGGTACAAAGGCGCACTGGAAATGCTAGGGTCAGGTTGCGTTGCCCCATAATTGTCGCACAGTTTCCCTGCTTGGAGCCTGGCGCTTTGCCCGCCGTGAGAGCAACAGAGCTTGAATCCCTCCGCGTGAAACGCAGGCTTTATATCACCTGTCATGTGCCTATGCGCGCCACAGGGAAACGGGAAAGCCAGACTTGCTACGTGATCGGACATCTCTTCGTTAGGCAGGCGTTCCAAGCGGGGCTCATTCCGCCAACGCAGCAGGCAAAGCGCAATGGTCCAGATGAGGATTTCTATGCTTGATCTGCCGGCCACGCAACGTGCCATAAGGATTTCCCAAATTACAGCGAGGGACACAAAAGCCCACAGGAAATGCTAGTGTCAGGTTGCGTGGCCTGTAAATGCCGCACGAATCTCGCTGCTTGAAGCCTGGCGCTCTTCCCCGCCTTGCAACGGTTCCTATCGCATACAATCAGAACTTGTGTCACCACAACTGGGAAGGAGCCCTTGCATGCCGTGATGCTGAGATGCCGTCTAGCTACACCTCACGGCTCATACACGTGTATGTATGCCCAGTGGCCATGAACAGCAGATGTCTATAATGACCTTCTGCCGGGTATGCCGATTGAAACCAACAGTACTATGATGAATGTGTGCAGCTGCAACGTGTCACTGCGGCGTATCGGTGGTTACTGCTGTCTGAGGCGATGTCGAGGGCGTTCTAGGATGTGATATATACTGCCTTTTACTTATTTCTAATCATAGGGATACAGGTCATTCTGGACATGGCTCTCGTTGCCCCAAGCTCGACCTCCCTTCACACTCCTACTGCCATGGACGTCGACCCTGCTGTATTTGCGCAAGTCTCCGAGGCGCACCTCAGGAACGGAGCCATTCCCCTTTCACACTACCTCAACGACCTTGACCTGCTCGCGTTGCTCCCGAGCACTTCCAGCCTACCACCACATCCACCAGCAGCACAACAGCTCGAGCCGACGATCCCGAAGGCAGTAGCAAAGATCCACCAAGCATGCCAGCAGGCGTTCGGAAACACGCAGGCGGTCAAATTCGACTTTGAAGAGGACCCAATCAGTCACGGTACGTTGACGAATTCTTTCCCGGATGCATATCACTCACTATTCAGTCTGAATAGGCAAGCGTTGTACGCTGACCCTAATCCGACCTGACGGTGCTACACGTACATATACTTCTCCTACAGTTATGAGTAGGAAATACGACGCGAAGGCCAGCGTGTGCACGCTCGCTATCCAGAGCGGCGCTCTCGAATTCATTGGTGGAGAGCCGAAGGGAGGATCTTCTTTAGCGTCCGCGTTCGAAACCCCCGGTACCGCTCTCGAAATGGATGACTCGGTGAAAGCGATTGAGCAATGCTGCCTTGAATGGGCAAGTGGTCGTGTGAAGCCTCACTGGCTGATGATCAGCGAGCCGAAATTTGGGAAAAGTGCGTGTGGTGGTCTCGGACCTCGCACGAATACGACAGCTGAATCGAACGATCAACAGCCCAGGGATGCGCTCTCCGTATTCGCCTGAGCCGGCGCGACTGCCGGGTCTATTCGGTCAGCACCGTCTACAACAGTGCAGCGGAAGCCAAGAAGGCTTGCGCCGAAGCAGCCCTTGCTGAGGGTGCCATCGATTTCATCAAGAGCTGGACAGCTTCTGACACCGATATGGACGTCGATGAGGTGGATTCGTCCACTGCGCTCAGCCTTGAACAATTCTTCGAATCGCTTCCGCAACCCTTTCCAGAACCGGTCGCCGGTCGCACAGCTGTGGACATCAATGGCCCTGCCTGGCTCAACACCACCATCCAATCCGCGCGAGGTGGAAAGATCGTCCCGAAGTTCGTCTACACCGTCGACCCACGGTACAATTGTGAGTGCGCTCCTAGTATTCAGCTGCTTTCGTTCCGGATCTCATGAGACGTCGGGGCAAGTCCACGGGTGCCTGCTGCGTCTCGAGTGTCCGGGGGCGGTCAAGTCGTATCTGGTGGACGCGCGATTTGCGAAGCGCAACGAGGCGAAGGCGGCGGTATGTCTGCTTGCTATGTCTGAAGGCGTGGGCGAGTACATCCGCGGCGTAGGTCAGGCGGTCAAGGACAAGCTGCCTCCTGCGGTGCGCAGGCACGTATCCTCGGTCCTGCTGCCACTGCTGAATGCGGAGTACCGCAAGGTGCGGGGGCCTGGGATGCAGCCTGGGATCGAGTACGATCAGGAGTTAGACGGTCAGTCGGCTTTGCTTTCCTCCGCCTCGCCATTGGTCCGTTAGCTGAGCGAGTGTCTGGACGCTACGTATGTAGCATGCGGCGCGACGATGACAATTGAGCTCGCTCCGAACGCGGGTCCTCAGCAGGTGCGGCGGTACACGGTGCCTGCTGAGTACTGCAGCAGGAATGACGCGAGGCTCGCGGTCGTGCATCACGCTGTGCAGGAAGGTGTCATCGATTTCTTGCGCTGGCATGGCAATACGCCGCCGCTTGGTTACGTTCCTTACGCCGCTCAGCAGGAGCAGCACTTCGCGAGTAGAAAGCGAAAGAACTGGGAATCTGGCAGTAACAGCAACGGTAATTATGGGAACGGCGGCGAGGAATGGTCGACTCGCAACGTTGTCGGTGGTGCTCCTTCTGGGACTTGGCAGAACAAGAGGCTGCGTACTGGGGTGAGCTTTCCAGCGGATCCTGGGTACGGTCTCGGCGGGTCTCAGCCTAGTTCAACGGGCCGTCAGGGCCAAGGCTTTAGTCGAAGCCAGGCGCATAGTCCACCAGGTGGTGGCTATCCGATTCAACAGTCTACTGGCAGGCCGTTATACGTCAACGGGCAGGTCACCCGATCTGCCAAGGAAGAGAATTGGAAACACAATTATCATAACGCTTCTGGACTTGGCGGACCGGGTAGTCATTTCTCTCCCCGCCAATATAAGTTCGGACCTAGTGTCTCCGACCCTTCCCGTTCCACGCAAGCCATTGTTCCTCCTTCAGCGACATACGCAAGCGGTACGATGCCGTCAAGCCAACTCTCGTACTCTCCTCCGTATACATACCCAGAGGGTGGTGTAGTCTCGCAAGGGGCCCAGCCCGGCCCACCTGGGTCCTATGGAGCGGTGCTTCATGCTCAGCCAATCCCTATCCCGTATCAGAATCCCGCCCCGCCTCCCCCACTCCCGCCATACAACGCAATGTCACCCAATGCTACTACATACCCTCCACCTGCGGTGCCTGCTGTTCCTGCGACTCCTGCACCCATACATCATCCTCAGCTACAGTATCCGAATGCCCATGGATATCTCACTGCGTTCAGCCCTGCCCCGGTTCCGGTGTATCAGCCGTATCCCGTCGTGCCTCCTCCACCGCCCGTGACAACATCAATGGTCAATGCGCCCTCCGTCCTTTTGGGTCCTGAGACGCTGCCTCCGCCAGTACCTCAGCCTCCACCTACTCCCCCTCCACCTCTCCCCCCGATACCAGCGCAGGTCAAGCCGGACCGACCTCCTCAGGCTCAACCATCGCCTCCTGTCCCGAAACCATTCTATCCCGCCGATCCCCTCTCTGCTTGGCCTACTAAACCCAAGGCTCCAGGCAAGGTCGTTTCGATTCAGTCTACGCCCAAGACGAACGTTTCGGCACTCTATGGTACGTCATTCCTTCTCGTACCTTTGCTTCAAGACTCCGATCGCCGTCTGCTCGGTCTGTTGTGCGCTTTGCAGGAGCTGGTCATGCTGACGTTGGCCTATGGCTTGGATCGGCTCTTGTGCAGATTATTGCAATGAGCACCAATTGCCTACCCCGCAATGGTGTCACGAGATGCCGAAGGACCAACCGGGCGAGAAGAAGCACAAGGTCTGGGTGGTGATAGGCAAGATGAAGTTCGAGCTGCCCGTCACGTTCTCCAGTCTCGGTCAAGGGCAAGAGAAGGTTGCGAAGAAGGTGGTCGACCAGTTCAAGGCGCACGGTCATGGGGACGCTGCAAAGTGGGCGAGATCGAAGGCGTGAGTAGGTTCAAAGGTATCATGCTTGCCACAATGCGATGTAGGCGCCTCGTGCGTAGCACACGACCCATGAAGAACGCTGTGTTTCACGATTCGCAACTATTTTGGAATTCCACCGTCTATGTCTGGCATCTCTTATACTATCCTTGTCCCAGTACCATTTGAGCGATCGGCAGCTCGTCTGTGCGCACTCGCTGTATATCTCCCCGAACACGTATTGCTTTGGATCTGTGTACGTATGCAAGACGGGTGACTACAATCGCCTGCATATAATCTGACTCCGGGGGCCGATACCTGCCTGTACAAACTGAACTAGTGACTATCCACCTGAGCATAACACGTCGTGGAACGCTCTTGCTTCACGCCTTGGCTCACTCAAGGCCCTTGTGGCCTCATGGTGTTCTCAACTGACAGACAGTATGTCTGCCTGATCCATGATCTGCTGGAGGCGTCTGCGCTCATCGTAATTCTGGATTGTGGAACGGGATAATGCATCGGGCTCATGTACAATCACCTATGGTCATGGTCTTTGCATTCTCCAAGTTATATAAGATTGTTTAACCACAAGTTTTTATGGTGAAATATCCGAGCGTTCTAAGGCGCCAGACTAAGGGAATGGGATTCGAAGGTCTGAATATGAGTGCATGGGTTCGAATATCACTCTCATCACTTCTAATTATTTTTCCGGAAATTCATCAAGACACGGCAGGCAAAGCGCGATGGTCCAGGTGAAGAAATCTACGCTGAACATACGGGCGATGCAACGTGCCCATAAGATTACCCAAATGACAAAGAGGGATACAAAGGCCCACTGGAAATGCTAGGGCCAGGTTGCATTGCCTATAAATGCTGCACAGATTTCCCTGCTTGGAGCCTGGCGCTTTGCCCGCCGTGAGATTGACCCGGTGCACAACCTATGGCATCACGTGCTGTAAGTGTCACGCTTTGGCGGGGAAAAGCCCGAAATTCGTATAGGCTCGACAATGGGAGCAAAATCAAGAAATCAAGAACCAGATAGTTGTAGCGAGTACCATTCTCTTTGGATTTTTTGGTTTTATATTTTTCATTTTGGGGAAGGGGACTGAGCCTATACAAAAATACACCTCAGGTCCCCAGCCAAATCATCGCTGAGCGCCGACCGGAGAGTCACGCCTTGGCGGAGGGCACGTGCCAAATAACGCGGTGACAGGGCCAATCTTACGTCAGCAACCCGTTCCAGCCGTCACTGCTCTGTCCCAACGTCTCACTGCCAGGGACATCATGCCGGCATATTCTCGCTGTGGGCCCAGTACGTCTTTGACTGTCTTAGTGCATCTTTGACGGATCCCATGAACCGTTCTATGTTGTCCCTACTCTTCTGGCTCGCCCGTGTTATCCCTACTATCCGCATGTCTGCATGCTGCGTGATCTGAACGAACGCCATACCGCCTGGAATTGGTCTGCCGCGGCGTCCATGAGTGCCCAGTGTCGTACACCCTTCACTGCGACTACCTATCGCGACCAGTCATTTCTACAAGTAAGCACGCCTTAGCTGCGACGTGTTGCATAGCTCACGGGCGCGTCCTCGACTTCACACCAGAGGCTGCTAATTGAGCTTTCAACATTCAAATCCCGTTGACACGGTGGATTTATTGCGAGATATATCTTAGATGAGCACGAGAGTGCACTTGCTTCGCCCCTTTCCGACACGCAGCACCGCACGATGAATCGACAGAATGCGGCGGGGATGTCTCCTATCTAGCTACTAATGCTGCATGACCGAAGTTGTTTGCAGCAGCTACCACGCTAGACAGGACCTGTAAGATTGGGGAAACTTGAACTTGCGGCATCATGCGGCATTCTAGCCTGGGAGCCTCGAGAAGGATTATGGCGGAGACAGCGGTTCCCTTCGATGTACCATCTTGCCTACACACTCCTTACTACTCAAGCTGTCGTCCTGCAATCCTGGGAGGGACTTACAAGGGCGTGAGATAGGTGGTCTAATATTAGCCACCAAGGGTTCCCAACCAATGTAGCGTCCCTTCGATTGTTGACGCTCCGTGCCTTCTTCATCTTCTAGGACGCGTCGAGCACAATAACCAAAGAAAGCTGAATCATCTTCCTTCCCAAACCTTCCGCGACCTCCGACGAAACGCTCGATCCGACCCCACATCAAGGCTCAGACAACAAGACAGGCGAAGTGCATGACCATGCTTGCTTGCAGCTTCTGGCAATCCATGTGTCTTAGGGGCCGCATAATCTCATCGCAAGATGACTGAAGACGCTGTGGGACGGCCTGCGCAATCGCGCGATTGGACAGGCGAGGTGCTTTCATTACCTCTTCGTTCGCTTCCGACGACCATCTGCTATCGGAGACCGTTCTCATGAGCTCCGTACAGATACTCTGTGGAATCCGAAAAGGCTGTGGTGGATGCTTGGAGACCCATTGCCTCTCTCTCGCACGTCAGCTGCCCGCCCCTAACAATTGCGTGCAACGAAGCTCACAGCGGATCCGACCAAGACCGCACGAGCACGCATGGACGGCGGGGCTCCGTTGTCGCAAGGGAGGAGTACAATCGCCTATAAAGTTGCTGCAAAGCTCGAGCAGGTCCCAGCATCGACCTCAACATGATTCCACCCAAGCCAGAGAACCCCTTTTACAGGTGAGCGACGCAGACTCGGAGTCCCTGTTTGTGTCCGCTCAACGCCTTCTTCAGAGAGCCCGAGTTCGAAACCATCCAGCTCCACGCAGGATACGAGCCCGACGCTGCGCAGAGGGCTCGTGCTCCCCCGATCTATGCGAGCACTAGCTTCGTCTTCAAGGACTCCCAGGTTCGTCTCACTTCTCTTCTGCACCGCTATACAAGTCTCTAATAAAACTCATTTGTATCTTACTTAGCATGGCGCAGACCTATTCGGTCTACGGTATGTCGTGGACCGCTGTCGGACTGTGCCCTCCCAGCACTCACATTCCGTGAAGGACGACAGGTAACATCTACGGTCGCATGGGTAACCCCACTGTGGTATGTCACGTCTCGGCCACTGATAGCCTCGACTGACCTCTGCACAGGCCGTTTTTGAGAGACGCATGGCCGCAATGGAAGGCGGCATCGCCGCTGTCGCTACCGCAAGTGGTCATGCAGCACAGTTCATGGCCATTGCCGCTATCGCCCGTGCAGGAGATAACATCGTCACCTCGTAAGTATCTCACACTAGTCAGGTACATGCAGCATTCATTTGAAATCCTCTTACAGATCGTACTTGTATGGTGGAGTAAGTCCGAACGAGAGCAATTCAACTACCGTGTATGCATGCTGATTATACCCTATGCGAAGACATACAACCAGTTCAAAGGTAAATCCTTCCCTGATACACCACGTACTAACGCTGATGTCTTCCAATCCCAGTTTTCATGAGAAAGTTCGACATCACCATGAAGTTCGTCGAGAGCGAAGACCCTGCCGCCTTCGCCGCCCAGATCGACGACAAGACGAAGGGCATCTACGTCGAGAGCATCGGCAACCCTAAGAACACCGTCGCGCCTCTACCCGAGCTCGCCAAGCTCGCGCACGACAACGGCATCCCGCTGCTCGTCGACAACACCTTCGGCATGGGCGGCTACCTCGTCCGCCCGTTCGACCACGGGGCGGACATCATCACTCACAGCGCGACTAAGTGGATCGGCGGGCACGGCACCGTCCTCGGGGGCGTCGTCATCGACGGCGGTACGTCTCATCTTCCACGCCTCCAGCATTCTCTTCACTAACGTCGATCCCCATCCCACCGCGCGTGCGCGCGCAGGCAAGTTCGACTGGGCCGCGTCAGGCAAATTCCCCGAGTTCACTGAGCCCGCAGACGGGTACCACGGCATGGTGTTCACGGAGCGCTTCGGGGACGCCGTCTTCGCGGTCAAGTGCCGGCTGGACGTGATGCGCGACCTCGGGCCGTGCATGGACCCCTTCCCCGCGTTTCTGCTCCTCCTCGGGTGCGAGACGCTGAGCCTGCGCGCGCAGCGGCACGCGGACAACGCGCTCGCGCTCGCGCGCTGGCTCGAGACGCACCCCAAGGTCGCGTGGGTGTCGTACCTCGGGCTCGCGTCGCACCCGAGCCACGCGCAGGCGCTGCGGCTACTGCGCCCGGGCGCATTCGGGGGGATGCTCAACTTCGGGATCAGGGGCGGGGACCCGCAGGTCGGGGCGGCAGTCGTGGACGCGATGAAGCTCGCGAGCAACCTCGCGAACGTGGGGGACGCGAAGACACTCGTCATCCACTCCGCAACGACGACGCACCAGCAGCTGAGCGCGGAGGAGCAGCTGCAGTCGGGGGTCACCCCGGATCTGATTCGGGTGCGTGCAATTCTGCGTGGTGTCGTCTAGGGATGTGCTTGAGGATGCTGATCGCCGGTGCGTAGGTGTCCGTTGGGATTGAGAACATCGCGGACATTATCGCCGACTTTGACCATGCTCTCCAGCTTGTACCCTGAGAGTCTGCAGAAGCCGAGGCGTCACATTGCAAACTAGAAATGCAAGCATGTATATGTATTAGTAACATTGACCAGGAACGAATGTATATGGTATATCCGAGTCAGCGATGTATTAGGGGGGCTGGGACCTCGTGCCTGTGCCCCGCCAATTGTAAACCTTCGGGACTAAGTACTCCTCAAGACCGTCTTCCCGTCAGATATAGCCCGATATTCGCCCTCATATTCTCCACGTCGCTTTCCTCGTCGCCGACCCCGTACAGAACTGCCAGACGTCGAACCGCGTCTTCTACAACCCATGATCAGCATCTAATCGTCACTATAGCAGAGAGTTATGCCCCACCCTCCATCCTCTTGAGGTGCCAGAAGTCTCTTGGAAAATCCACGTCGGCGGGCAAGGGCTCCCCGTCCAGCAGAGGCAGGGCCTGCCAATGCGATGCCGAGCTGTTATACATGCGCAGCTCGCTTCAAGAGCCATATGCCCTCAGCATTCCGACGTACGCCCCCCTCGCCCACCCTGAGAGACCGAAAGACGGGCGCACCTTCGGATCGCAACCGCATTCGCTATCCTCTGCTGCTCCGCCAGCGCCGCGTGATGCTTTGCAGCTTCCCTCTGCACCTTTATGAGGGCCGCGCGATGCGCGTTCGCGAGCCTTTCTTGTTCAGCGAGTGCGCGCTGGTGCGCCGTCGTCTCGCTGAGGATGCGCACGAGGTCGCCGAGGAGCGTCACCTCGACGAGGGTGACCTCCGAAAGGCTCGGTTCGGCTGGACTTTGCTCTTCTTGCTCCATGGTCTGAGATGGCACCCACTCATAGCCTGGAGAGACGGGTTCCGGAAGAGCTTGGGTAATAGGGGCGAGGCTGGGCATCGGTCTTGAAGGATAGTTGCGTATTGTCCCCTGGAAATATAATTTCGTGCGGACTTCCCTTGCCAAGTAAGCTAGCTGGGTTTCATCGCCAAGAAACTTACGTCGTGATGCTAGGAACGCGAGCTGTCAGGCCGGTGCCAGGTGGCCAAGCGATACTGCATCGAAATCGTCGCAGCCAGGATGAGTTGAGTAGTGTTGCTATGAGGCTTTCCAATCACACGGCAGCAGACAGCTTCCAAAACAAGACTCACTACACGTACATACCGCCGCCCGCGTTTTATATCGCCATCGTTCTGTCGATGATAGTGGAAACTGGGCAAGGTCTGCGGCTGGTTGTTCTTTCCAGGAAAAGCGAAGCAAACCTGGCATGAAGTCGTGTGCTCAGGCAAGGATCGAACCCACGACCTCAGAGTATGAGACCTGCGCTCTAACCAACTGAGCCATTAAGTCACCATTATTATATGATGCTAGTATAATGATCGACGGTGCTGTGTTTCTGATGTCATGGCTCAAGGATAATTGTTGCAGCACGGGAACTATCATGGCCCTGCCATATCAGTGGGTTCTGCCACATGCGACCAGGAGATGCGTACTGCACAACATGACATCCTTCAAGTTGAAAGTAAAGCTATCATGCATGCCTATGCTTGACACAGCCCCAATTGCAGTCTAAAGCAGGGTGCTGGGAGATTGTGGGGTTGCAAAGACAGGTGCCCCGGCTCGTGTGATACACGCCATATGTTATGGAAATGGCACAGCTTGCCTAATACGCACGCCGGCGTCGACGTTATCTGGCGACCACGGCCGAGCGCTGCCATATCAGGGTTGCTGGACGATAAGAGGGGCACAGCAGCAACCATGTGCAATGCGACCGCACAGGGACGGCGGCCAAGTCTCGGAGAAGCCAGCTTGTGTGGATCTGCTGCAGCACTCCGACGGCGATTTGCACTAAGCAGAATGTTCATTGAACGATGTTCTCGGTGTCCATATGCTGTGTGCGTTACGCAAAGCGCAGGTCGAGTACCGGCCTAGGATGGCGATCGCGATGGACGCGGGTCTCCGAGTCGGCAGAGCGTGGGGTACGTCGCTGTGAAGGGCGTGTGAAGAGCGGATTGCGTACCCCAATCGGGCGCTCTAGGGGCCATATTTGGGTGGCCAGCGTCGCGTGCGGGGACTGCAGGATAAGAAGGCCGTCGGACGCGCAGCCCCTCCTTCCTCCCCAACCATCATCTCCCCCCCTTCATCGTCGGGGAGCATCTTCAACAACCACCCTCCGACCGCAATCCTTTCCTTCAGTCAGCATGCGCCGTTTGTTCGTCGCTGCTATTGCCGCCGCCGGCCTAGCTGGCGTGCTTGCTCATGACTCACACCCTGTCTCTCGTCGTAAGACCCTCAGCTTTGGCCCTGTTCTCCCTCATGCCACCTACCACACCAACCCCGTATACCACACCAGCCTCCTCCGTTCCGACGACCCCTACGAGGTGGCGCGTACCTTTGTCGAGGACCTCGTTCGCGACATCCCCGGTGGCTCATACCAGATCCGCAAGGATTCGTACACTGACCAGGCCACCGGTGTTACCCACGTCTACGTTCGTCAGTACGTGAATGGCATCGAGGTCGCCGACGGTGACATCAACCTCAACGTCAAGGACGGTGTCGTCCTCTCGTACGGCGACTCTTTCTTCCGTCCCAAGGAGGCCGGAGCCCAGGCCTTCCAGCGTGACGTCGACCCGCACTCCGAGTACTGTCAGTCTCTGGAGCGCGAGATCGCCGACCAGCTGCAGCATATCGACGGCTCCAAGCCGCAGCACGGCGTCGACCGCGATGCCCTCACCCAGCTCGGCAACTTGTACGACTGGAACTGCCAGTTCGTCAACCTCCCGGACTTCATGTCGGAGTCTCCTGACTTCGCCAACGCCGAGGATGCCGCGTCAGGCGATGTGACCCGTGCGCTCCTTCAGTTCATGATCGCTGCCACCCCAAATGAGGAGCTCAGTGCGGAGATGCTCGGCAACACCGGCAAGTACATTTCTGACATGCGTGTTACTTTCGAGCACCACCTCGCTGGCGATCATCCCCCTACATTCACCGTCGACAACGTCCCCGATGCGGTCAACCCCGTCAAGGGTCGTCTTGCCTTTGTCCAGGTTCCGAACGGTGATGCGACTTCACTCCAGCTCGTCTGGAAGTTCGAGGTCGAGATGAAGGACAACTGGTATGAGGCCGCTGTCTCTGCTGAGACGCCTCACCGCATCATTTCCGTCGTTGACTGGGCGTCCGACTCGCCTGTTCCCATGGCACCTGTTCCTCCCAAGGGCAGCGAGGGTGCGACGTACAATGTGTTCGCGTGGGGAATCAATGACCCTTCTGTCGGCGAACGCTCTATCCAGAAGGAGAACTTTGACACGCTTGCTTCCCCTCTGGGATGGCACGCGCTCCCATACGCGAACGATCCCGAGTCGTCGCACCTTCGCCTCAAGGATTCGTCCAAGATCCGGAACACGACTACGACGTGGGGCAACAACGTCTTCGCGCACGAGGACTGGGAGGGTCGCAACAATTGGGTGAACAACTACCGCCCCGATGCGGGTGCGAACAAGGTGTTCGATTTCAAGTACAACCCCAAGGCGACTCCGACCGACGACGCGCTCGAGGAGGCTCAGAAGTACATCAACGCGACCGTCACGCAGCTGTTCTACACCTCTAACCTCGTGCACGACCTGTACTACCGCTACGGCTTCAACGAGGTCGCGGGTAACTTCCAGCAGCACAACTTCGGTCGTGGGGGCCAGGAGAACGACGCCGTAATTGCGAACGCTCAAGACGGCTCGGGCTACAACAACGCAAACTTCATGACGCCGCCTGACGGTCAGAACGGTCGCTGCAGGATGTACTTGTGGAACACCGCGAACCCGTACCGTGATGGCGACCTCGAGGCTGGCATCGTCATCCACGAGCTGTCGCACGGTCTGAGCACGCGTCTTACCGGTGGACCCGCCAACTCCGGCTGTCTTGGTTGGGGTGAGTCTGGAGGCATGGGCGAGGGCTGGGGTGGTAAGTGATGACGTATCTTAGGACCCTCAATGTTATCGCTGACGCAATCTCAACAGACTTCTTGGCCACAACGATCCGCAGCAACAGGAATTACTCGGACTACGCGATGGGCTCGTGGGCGGCGAACCAGGAGAAGGGCATCCGCAACTACCCTTATTCGCTCGACGAGACCGTCAATCCGTCGACGTACAAGACGCTTGACAAGCCCGGCTACTGGGGCGTGCACGCAATCGGCGAGGTCTGGGCGCAGATCCTCTGGGTCGTCTCGAATCGCCTGATCGCTAAGCACGGCTTCGTCGACGACCTCTTCCCGCCCAAGCCTCTCGACGATGGCACGATCCCCGAGGGTGACTTCTATCGTGCGCGCGAGTACGATGCGCAAGGCAAGCCGAAGCCGCTTGTGCCGAAGCACGGTAACTCGCTCGTTGTGCAGCTCGTGCTCGACGGGATGAAGCTGCAGCCTTGCCGCCCGTCGTTCTTCGACGCGCGCGATGCGATCATCGCCGCGGACAAGACGCTCACTGGGGGCGAGAACTTCTGCGAGCTCTGGGAGGGCTTCGCATCCCGTGGTCTTGGCGTTGACGCTAAGGTCGAGGGCCGTACCCCGTGGGGTGGAGGAGTGCGCACTAACGTGAGTTCCGAGATCACATGATCAGGCTGAGAGACATTGCTGACTGGTTTTTTCTATATGACAGGGTGTCCGTGTACCCGCCGAGTGTTCGTCTGACGTCCCGCCGCCCGAGGAGCCCGCTCCCGGTGATGGCGATGACGACGGCGACGATGATGACTGGCCATGGCTCGCATGGGTGGTCCAACACTCGACGCCGTACTCGTGGCGTTGGCCGTTCTGAGCTGGCCTCCCCCGCGACATGTGTCCCGATTGAGCGTGCGGTGTCCCACTGTCTGTCTGGTTTTCCGCGAGATTACTGTCAGTGTAGTCTGGACATTCTAGACACGGACAGATAGGTGGGCGGCGGACGACGACGAGGCGCTGTGGGAGTGTGCGTTGTACTTCTAGATGATTGGTTCGGTTGGATCTTCTTGTACTATATCACTACATTTACGGGATATACAGACATTGGTAATCTTGCGTCCTGGTGGATGATCAATTGGTCATCCTGGATCATTGGAAGAGCTTCCCTTGTGTTCGCATGCATTGCCGTTTCACTGGTCTATGACTATCCGGCTTGCATATAAGCGCCCCTAAGGTGCCTTTTTTCGCTACCCCCATCGTCTCGTGCGCTGACCTCCATGTAATGCGATAGCTTCGAGTCAGCTTCCTCTGCTCTGCACCCTTTCTGCTTGTAAGGTGGTTATCGTTGTCATACATATCTGATGCACGGTCTAGACATTGAAATTGTCCGGGTTGGCGCTATTTCAGGTCCTAACTTTCGCCCGCCTTGCATATATCGAAGCTAGAGGGAGACCAGAAGCGACATCTCAATCGTTTTGCTACGGAGATGACGTCTTCTATCCTACTGTACATTCCCTTTGCTATGGCTCTTCGCGGGACGCCCGCAAGTCATTCAAGCCTTCTCGAGGACCCAGCGATGGCCAGGCTGGCCCTTATCATCCCCGATCTGGACCTGTGGAGTGGCTCGATGGTTTGTCTGTCTGACATGGTACTGCTAGATCTTACCCTCTGGCCCGGCTCGGCCTGGCCGACGAACCAGTATACGGTGAGCCCACCATCTTGGATGCTATCACAATATCCTCAGCAGGTGTTCGTGTTTGAGTGGAGACAGATTCCGGCCACGTACATGATCCCGTCTCCGTTGTCCTGGAAGGACCAGACGTAGCCGCCAGCAGGGAGGACTCTAACGCTGCCCTGTGAGCCCCAGCCAGCTTCATCGGTGCTGGCTCCCTTGGGTGTCACGGAAAAGGTCTTTTTGTCTCGGGAGACCTTGATAGTCCACTGGCGGTAGAAGGGATACCAAGCTCAACCGCATAGAAACTCGAGAATGGCCAAAACCACCTACGATCTGGGTCTGGATAGGCGGAGAGGCCAGAGGCTCGACAGCGGCATACTGGTTGACTCCGTTGAAGGTAATGGCAAGCTTTGCGCCCGTATAACCGAGCGCACGGTTAATTATGAAATAATCACCGTCCGGCAGAGAAGACATGGCAAGAATATGAAGAGAGGCTGGAGATGTGTTGGTAGGTCAGCGAACCTGGTCCATTTAGCCACACGTTTCGTGCGTACATATACACGTTATGTTTGTACCCTGTTTACTCTTTCATCGGGAACGGGAGTGTCAATGATGTATTCGCGTAACCCTCCGGCATCTCACCATCCGTCGCATTAGGGACCGGCGTTGTCACCGGTGTGTACCCAGACCGGTGGCGTCAGCACACGAGGTGTCCAGCAGCGTCGATGATGGCTTCGCGCGACCCTCTGGTATGTCACCATCCGTCGCATTAGGGAACTGTAGTCACTGATGTATACCCAGACCGGTGGCAGTAGGACACGAGGTGTACAGGTGGTCACCCGACGTGCACTGGCTCAATGCGGAATGCCCGCAATCGTAGGGTCGAACTCGTCTCCTGTGGAAGAGGTCCAGGCTTTGAAGCGAAACTTGCGTTCACCGTATTCAAGATCAAACGCGGCGTTGCGCCACTGGCAGACTCCTCGGATATAGGACATTGTGGAATCTTCCACAACCCAGAGACAACACAGGTACGGTAGCTGTACCTGTGCGGTATGCTTGTCAGGTGCCATTTCCAGACGTGTGGTGAGCGGTCCGATTGGCACTCAACTGCGGCGCTCGTGATGCTTGCTGTGCTACCCACGGTGATCTGCAGTGCTAAGACATACGTCTGGACGCGACATGGGGAATCTGCGACGTCATATGCTCTCCGGACTCTCTGCCTCGATCTTATTTTTGGACTAGCTCCGGACACTGTAGGACCTCGAAAAGCAGCTAGAACCCTTGTACTAGACACAGTCTGCAATCAGTTGCTTCCGAGCTTTCGATGTGCTACCATTCCACTCCCCCCGGGGCTTGTCATCTCCATTCAGTAGCAAATGAACCACTATTGGAACGGCCAGGCTGCCGGAACCAGCGCTGCTGTCGACCGTACCAAAAGGCCACCATTCCAAAAACGCGGCTTGACATGCGCTACTCACGAATGAGACCTCCGCTTGAACCGACCGAGCCATTTACGCACATGTCAAGCAATATGTCTTGTGTATGTATATTTGTGGCTGGATTGCCTCAACCGGAGCTGTTTCAATAGGCATATGTACACATGTTTCTTTTCCTATGTTGAGGACAACGATGGATGCCTCTTTGAAAGTGTGTTAGAAGAGCAAGTGCGATGATATCACGCGCTCTGGGCGTGCGTGCGTAGGACGCGTTGATTTGGGCCGCCTCAGCCGTGCCACCGTTGCCCGCTACGCCTCTCCAGCCACTCTCCCAGATCTTTCGTCCCTCCTTCCTCCAGACCGTCTTCCTCCTTCACTAGACATCGGCGGCCATTGTAGACGTATAACACGGCTTCTTCTCCCTGCACGATCGCGCCGAGATACTGCTCGACGTCGTATCGCGGACCACGACCCACTCTGCTCCATTTCACTCAGGCAACCCAATTTCCCCTCCCCAATCAGTCCATATCTTCCTTCAATTCGGAAAATCCACACAACACAGATTCTCATATTGTATAGCTCTCAGTGCTTCAGTACTCTTAACGCACGCTTCACGCTTACGACAACCCCCCACCAACGACGAGAACGATGTCCCAATCGCAGGACAAGGCGACTGCGCCCATCAACGTCAAGCTCCTCCTCATCGGAAACTCCTCTGTAGGGAAGAGCAGCCTTCTTCTCCGGTTCTCCGACGAGCAGTGGTTGCCGGAGGACGAGTCCAGTGCGACGATAGGTGTCGACTTCCGGGTGCGTCTTCTCCGCCGAGTCTCACCAACCGAGTCTCCCCGCTGTGTCAGGTCGTGTGCTGTGTGCTCACATCGTCGTCCTGGCTTCAGGTACACAAGATGGACGTGAAGGGCAAGAAGGTCAAACTGAGCATATGGGTGCGTCCGTCCGAAGCCGTCCCTCGTCCGCAGCTCTCATCGGATACCTCGTTCTGGCACGCTTCCAGGACACGGCGGGCCAGGAACGTTTCCGGACAATCACCTCGTCATACTACCGCGGTGCACAGGGCATCATCCTCGTCTACGACGTTGCGAACCGCGAGTCATTCGACGCGCTCCCGAAGTGGTTCTCCGAGCTCGAGACGTACGTATCCAGTTCGGTCGTCAAGATCATCGTCGGGAACAAGGTCGACAAGGTGCGTCTGTCCGTTCACTCTCATGAGCATTCAAGCTTAAATTGTTCACCACTCCAACTCCGCCCTCTCTCGTTTCTCTACGTACATCAACCACATGCACGCACGCTCCATCCGCCGTCCCTACACCCCGCGCCTCCTGTCCACATGCACACGCACCCCGTTCTCCATCACCGTCCCACTACCCGTCTGACCTGCCCCTCCGCACGTGCCCACCCTCTCCGCTACTGCCCACTCACCTGCTCTGCCGCCCCGCAGGAGTACTCACGCCAAGTCTCCGCCTCAGAAGGCCAAGCCTTCGCGGCGCGCATGGACGCCCTCTTCGTCGAGGCGTCCGCCAAGACCGCCGTCGGCGTCCAGGAGGCCTTCCGCGACGTTGTCGAACGCATTATGGACACCCCCGAGCTCTGGCAGACCGGCGCCGCGCGCAAGGGCGGCTCCGGCAAGCCCGGGGGCGCGAGCGGGGGCAGGGGAGAGGACATGCCGGGCAGCATCGACCTGAGGCAGGAGCCGGACGAGGCGGAGGGCGGGGGCTGTTCGTGCTGAGCCTAGGCTCGCGGTTGCGGCAGGGTGCGGGGGTACGGAATGCGTGCGCGGGTGCCGTGGCGCGTTAGGTCGGGCTTGCCCGGAGTGCTGAATGCTGGGTACTGGGTGCTCGGGAGTGTAGCCTGTACCTGGAGCGCGGCCCCTTGGAGTCTATTCACTGATGATTGATGACAGATGGCTGGATTTTCCTATACTTTGCTCCCGGCGTATTTTGGACTTTGTACACATACATAATTGCAGCTCGACGGAATACTTTGGTTGCGATACCCAAGGTCATTACCATCATGATGATTACATATAACCACAACGGAGTTTGGGCAATGTGCTTGGATGGCTCAGTTGGTTAGAGCGCAGGTCTCATACGCAAGTGTGACCGCCTTTCGGCGGGTAATCCTGAGGTCGTGAGTTCGATCCTCACTCCGAGCACTCAATAGGATGTGGTGTGGACTTCTTTTTCTACCAAGACAGTTCGATCCTTACTCGGCCGAGCAGTAATGGGTGTGATATTCCCAACTTTCTTAGGTATCCCGCACTCGACCTACACTGCGCCTGATTCTCGCCAGCAGTTCGTAGCGCCACGGGACCACAGCCCGCATGGGCGTTCTGACTGCTTGCTATAATCGAAGGCTAGCAATTTCCGGTGGTGAGCCCCCCCCGGGAAGTTAGGGGCAAGCCTTGTTCAGGTGTGGTAGTCTAGTACATGTATGACGTGCAGGGTCTCACTACGTCACTTTTCGCGTGGGAGCGTCAACTTCTCTGTGCACCGGCTAGACCTATGGAGGGAAGGAGAGCAAGGTAACACGGCCGCGAAGGCCCTCACACAGAAGTAGTTGCTCAGGGAACATGTCGCTGCATCCCTATGCACGGGAGCACGTAGATCTCCGGTAGCAGATTGTGTGGGGTCCAAGGTCACCACGGCAGGCACTGGGTTGTCTGGACAGGAGAGAACTCGATGTAAAATGGGAGGCCGGAAGAGGCAACCACCCGCTGTCTTTTGAAGACTTCTGTTCAGAAACGCCTCGTTTTAACGAGGAAACGCAGCTTGCGCCTCCCCTTGTATCGACTTGGGCTGATCCCTTGAACAGCGGATGAGTGTGCATTGAACCAGGGCCGAACCGGGGTCCCGAGTCCCCTGACCTCTTCCCCTTGTTGCCACTGGTGCTGTCGCAATGACATCCAACCCAGAATGGGTTGCGTCTTTCACCTGGAGCGTGCTGCAGCACAATGAGAGGACGCTCGCCGTCAGCCACACAGGACCATCGCGGTCTTGTGTTGCCAAAGGCGATGGCCGAATGGCCGAACTCCAAGATCCGGATGGGGGGCATCCGACCACTCACTTGTTCACGCTTGCCAATGAGAACCACACGATCACAACCAAGTATCAGCCTGACAGTTTGGCGTGGAGGCTCCTGGCCGATGTGCCTTTGACTCGGTCGAGGAAGTTGAGGAGGTTCCTAGTTCGGAGGAATGGACGTATTCCGCGCCGTGGTACTTATCGCCAGCGGCAACATTTGGCCGAGCGGGAAAGAAGCGCACGTTGGTGCTCGGCGTGAAAGTTTGCGGCGCCGTCGCACCACTGCTTGCGCGTCAAGCTCGCCGACGAGATGCAGGATGCCACGCTGGTCGTGTTGCTCGAGGGAGAAGAGGCAGTGGAGCAGCGGTTTGCCGGGGCCGATGGCCAAGTAGCCGCGCAACTTGAAGACATCGGGCTCGGGGCTGGATAAGGCAGAGTCGGCGTGCTGGCCAACGACGATGCCGTCCCTGCTTTGACAGACTCGAACGACATTGCGGTCGGCCTGAAGCGCGTGGCAGACGGGGCGTGGAACGGACACGGATTCGAGTGACGACGTAGACGGGAGGGCTGCGTTGACACGACCGAGTTCCTGGGGTTTGCAACCTTGTACGGGATCCTCGTTACGGACATAGATTGGCAGCCCCTCCCTACATGGCGCTGGGATGTGCATTCCTCATGCTCTTGAGGGCGAGATGTCGCGATGGAATCACATGAAGGCCCAAGCTCAAAGCACGCGGCGCGGAAGCGAAGGTGGTCAAATGACACCGCATTTATTGGGTCTTCCAGCACTGACGTATCCACACTAGGTACACACGCGTATTGAGCGACAGCTGCTGCATGACGTCCTCGTCAAGAGCTATTGATTATCAGCCAATCGATATTAGCGGTAGATAGGAAGTTCACGAGTTTGTTGTCCGGCACGATGCAGATAACGAGCCTGTACAAGCGCAATGCTCCATAGCAGTTCCACAGCTCCGGGAGAGTGACCCCCGCACACCATTCCACCATAGGCCACCTGGAGGGGACAGAAGAGGAAGACCCACCATTTCGAGTTCCAACCCCGGCTATCCACCACGGGACGGTCGAGAACGAACTGACGTTTAAACCGCTGTTCACGGGTTAGTAAGCTGCAGCCGGAAAGGTAGGCACGGGGAGGAGTGACAAGCAGGTTGAGAAGCAAATCTTAAGGCAGGAGGGCAGCTTGGTGCTCAATCATTCTCGTCCCTTCGCTCTGTTCGCCGCGCGCTTGATGGGCGCCTATACATTGTTACTCCTCGACGCGACCGCAAGGCCGCCGCAATCCCGCTGCTCTCGCTCAAACTTTTGCAGCTGGAACTCATATTAGAGCTGTGCGCGGCGTTTTAGAGAGTGACCACCGCCATGGGCACTACCTCTCGGGTACCTAACCTGGCCGCTAAAGCGCGGGGTGAACTGAACGACGAGAATTGAACATCCCTCATCCCAGAGTCCTCAGTAGAGGTAAGTAGCCAGCGAAACGCGGATGCGGGTGGGACGCCTGACCACTTTCGTATCATGCTGTGAGTACCCAACGCATGGGAGATCAAGAGCCAGGTTCACCTCGCCCTGGTCTGCGATCACAACCGAACAAAGTTGAGTTTGCGCATCCTCTTAGAACCCTTGATAGCTGACGAAACTTCTCTATTGTCGTTTCAGCAACCTAGCAGCCCTGAATCGCGATCGCAGCCGAGGTCGCAGCCTCGTTATGCTATGATGCAGCGACGGGTTAGTCACTGGCATTTGGTACGGTGAGTAATGAAACCTTCTGTCGTGGATAAAGCGGAAGTATGCTTTGTCATATCGTGATGAAAACATGGTTCAGTCACTAGCTCACGGTCTGGTGATTAACCGCCATCATACTATGACAAAACGCACCTCCTCTTCTCTCGCGAATTATGACGCTCAGGAGGTCTCATTGCTCACCATATTGCGAAAGAAGATTGGGTTAAGCAACTGTATCGTGATATGGAGGCTGATGATGTTCCCTTAGTGTCATTCAGTGGACTTTGGGACGTTCCAGACCAGCGGAGTGGCTTTCGAGCTTTGGTTCATCAAGTACCTTGTTTGAATGAAGCAGGCCGCTCGTCCGGTCGACTTTGAATCTAATGGCTGTCAATGAAAGCCGCCAGTGACGTTATACTCCGATAGACACGATAGAAGAGTACACAGAGTTCATCCATCGAACTATCATAGTAACGCTCCCACCCCTGCCGCCGACCCTCTAGTATTAATACCTGGATGCCGTCCTCGAACAGGAGGATTCTCCCATACCAAGGAACGACATGGCTATCCTTCAAAGTCTCTCACTACCGCCCTTTATCCTCGGGATATTCGGAACACTGTGTTATCTGTATTGGCGATTCATTCGCTCCGAGTCGGCTCTAGGCCGCTATGAACGTCTCCCCCTCCCCCCAGGACCTCCTGGTTTTCCTGTCATAGGAAACCTGCTCGATTACCCGAAGGACAGACCATGGCTGGCGTACAAGGAATTGAGCAAGAAATACGGCGAGTGCTGACATTGTGCTGACATTGTGCTGACATTGGCCTGAACTATAACACTTCTCACTAGGCGACATCGTCTCTCTGCGGATCTTCTCCCAGCAGCTGATAATTCTCAATGATTACAACACCGCCATCGATCTTCTGGACAAGCGATCTTCGATATACTCGTCCAGACCACCCACGCCCATGTTCAGGCTGTGAGTGTAACGAGTGTGTTACCCCTTCATACAGCATTCTGAGGCATCGCAGGACTGGATGGGACTGGGCCCTCGGAATGATGCCCTACGGTCCATGGTGGCGGCGTCACAGGAGGGCATTCTGGCAAGAGTTCCACTCGGACGTCGTAGGCAGGTACCATTCCAACCAGGAGGAAAGCGCTCGCCGTCTGCTAGCCAGGCTTTTGAAGAGCCCTCAGCACTTCACGGAGCATATAGAGTAGTGAGTACTTCATGCCAGTGATGTCAAGCCAGCGGAGTAACGTCTGACAAGTCGGCCCATCGGTCAGCTCCGTCGGCGCCGCCATCATTGAATCATGCTACGGGCTTCCCGTAGCAGAGGAAGACGACAAGTACATAGCCCTCTTCAAAGAAACGGCTTCCACGATCAACCTGACTACTCCTGGCTCTTCAATGATCCTCGAATCGTTTCCCGTACTAGCCCGCACCCCGACTTGGCTGCCTGGAACGAGCTTCTTGCGCCGTCTTGCACGAACTCGCCAAATGACGGCGGACATGCGGGATATTCCGTGGAAGGACCTTCAAGAGGCGATGGTGACTTTGCTTCCAATGTGTCGTATGCTGTGATAATGACTCGCTGCCACTGCTCTACGCAGAACACAACAGGGATAAAAGTTAGCGCTGCGAGCTCGATGATGGACAGATTCTCGAACATTTCCGGCGGATCTACTTCCGATGACGAAGACATCGCAAGGAACGTCGTTGCAGTTGCTTATACAGGCCAGTATTAGAAAGTTTAGTCCTCGGGAGTTCTTGTGACTAATCATGTCGCTTACAGCTGGTCTCGATACCGTTCGTCGCAATTTCTTGCTGCGAGAATGCCCGCATTAAGGAAGTTATTTGCCAGACACATTCTGCCACTGTTGCATTTGTGATAGCGATGGCGCTCTACCCGGACGTACAGGCAAAGGCACAAGCGGAACTCGAACATGTCTGTGGGAAATCCCGGCTCCCAGAAATGGCGGACATGGATTCGTTGCCATACATTCAAGCGATTATGAGAGAGGTACTACGGTGGCATGCAATAGCTCCGCTCTCCCTGCCCCACGTCGCCATCGCAGATGACGAGTACAATGGTTACTTCATACCCAAGGGCTCGCTCATCATCGCTAATGCTTGGTATGATACTCTGCTCTGAGTTCTTCAAATACGGTCAGCACACGGAACCGTTAACCTACCCTTAGGGCATTCCTGCAGGACCCTGAAGTATACCCTGAGCCGGACAGATTCATGCCAGAGCGCTTCCTGAAAGATGGAAAATTCGTCGTTGATATAAGGGACCCAGCAACTATTGCGTTTGGATTCGGCCGACGGTGCGTCCCCTTGTCGTTCGCTTCCAGTCGATGTCGTTACAGCATCCCTCACAGAATCTGTCCGGGGCGGCACTTTGCTACCTCTGCGCTGTTCATTTTCATTGCGTCTATCTTGCATACCTTTGCGATCAAATCACCGCTCGACGAACATGGCCTCCCCATCAGAAGCGAGCTCAGGCAGACCACAGGACTCATATCGTGAGCTTGTTTTACAGACCTCGAGACTTCAGGGAGTGCTAAGTGTATACGGACAGGTTCTTGGAAGGCTGCGATTGTAAGATCACGCCACGGTCCGAGTGGGCAGAAGCTTTGATCAGGAGCTAAGTAGGGATTAGACGTCGGGACGTCCCGCAGACCGATGGATGGTCTTCTGTCCCTTGTACCAAAGCACCTGATGAGGAGTTCTCGTATGCGAGTACACGTAGTGTTACATAATATAGGTGAAACGACTGAGTGGCCATGGCATCGATTCAGCTACACGCTGATCAAGCCACATCGGTCGGTGCGCCGTGAGATAATCGAATTTGGGCATCCTGGCACAGTCGGATGCGTGAGACAGCTGTGTAAGATCATTTGATAGACTTACTTCCTCGATTCTGCTGACATCGGGCGAAGCACGAATGACGGCGAGGGTCTCATCGTCGAAGATCCCGGAGTACGAGTTGAGGAACGAGTAGTCGTTCTCGATCCTGGACTGCTCGGAAAGGCGTTCGCGCAACCATTTGAGGTGGGCTTCCCTGTCGACTCCATCCTTCAATGCCACGATATAGCTCGAGTCTCTCTTCTCGTCGGCGGCCCGTGCGATGTCAACGGTGTTGGTTTGCGTCATGATAGGACGGTGTGCTAGCGACAACGTAATGACAGGTGAACTTTTGGTGCATCCACGGTTGACATCCGCGGGGATACCTCACCTCGAAATGACTGAGGGATGGAAGGGTAGTGGTGCAGCTGACAAATAGGAGGCCGGATCCTATAACATTCCCTTTTAGAACGCTCATGGACTCCACTTTAGTCAGCGTTGCCATTTCGACTTAGTAGGGGAGTGACAGCCATTTGGGGGGCGACTCCGCGCCGCTCGGTTCGGATATCATGAGGTTTGTGAAAGATGCAACCTATACTAGTGTGACCCCAGAAGCTACTGACACGCCTCCAGTTCTCGCATTTCCCTGTCAAAAAGTGTGCACGGGTTACACACAAGACGATGTACTTCCAAAATATCATTGTCAAAAAGAACGAAGGAAATCGGAAGGGATTTGCTCCTGATACAAGTCAATCTCAGTAGGGTTTCAACAGTTTACTGACCTTGGTGAGTTGCCACAAAAAGATCTGCAGCGCCGATCTTTCTGTAGCTTGAAAAGTGTTCTAAACATTTTCAATGAACTTTCTTGTTCAGTCTCCGAAGGATTCCGGGTTGCGGTATTCAAAGGATGGGAAGAGGTCTCTCGAGCGTGACATTCAGCCACTGACCGAGATAAAGCTGACTTTCAATCTGAGCGCTTCGACAGTGTTGCCTCGGCCAACTTCGCTATCAAACGACTGATAACAGCGGTGTTTGAATCGGCAGTCTTCGGCATTGTGACCATCCATGACAATCTCTGGGCGCTTTTCCGTAGCTTCTGGGGTCAGACGTGTAATTCCGCGATGCTCAATGCAAACCTCCACCGATTTTCTTCATATTTCACACGTATGTACTATCCAGAATGCGAATTAAGTATGCGAAGTCTGAAATGTGTCGGAGAGGATGGGAGGGAGATATTCATGAAATACGTTATGGGCCGTAGCTTCTGGGGTCATACTAGTACTGGAAAAATCTCTGTAGGCTCGGGACAGTCACACGCGCATGGAAAAGTAGTAACCTCCATATTCATGTATCCCTGTATTCGACACGCGGTTCTTTACAATGACAAGCTGGTATCGCCGCCTCAAAAACCATTGTTAGCGAGGAAGTTCGGGGTGCCCGCAGCTGTCGGAAGCACATCGTAGTCAGACGATGCAATCTGCCTCACTTCAAGGTGAACTCACGGATGTCACCGAGGACGTTAGCCAATGCAGTGCTCTTGAGATACTGGGACATTGCGGACGGCGATTGGTTTCCTCGGAGCGAAATCGTATATGCAATCAGGCCGGCGAGCTAAGACACGCATGTCAGGACATCCGTTCTAGAGCATGGAAGTAGTTAGGCAGAAAAAAATGCTTACGTGAGGGCAAGCGAACGAAGTTCCGCTGCTGTAAATCGTCGCGCTCCTGTCGCCTATGGTGGCCATCTGAATGTTCTCTCCGGGAGCAAAGATGTCCAGGACGGCCCCATAATTGGAGGAGTACCAGCGCCGATCGAGCATGTTGGATGCGCCAACTGTGACCGCAGATGGTGCACGGGCGGGGCTCACTAAGCCTGCATTGACCTATATTGCGGCGATCACTCATTCAATGTACACGCCAGGAAAGATGAATTGTGCTTACATTGTTGTTTCCGGAGGCAGCACAGACGTGAATTCCGGCATCCGTCATCTGGACACCGCTCAGGAACAGGAATCAGGAGTGACAGCGGACCATAATTCTCACCTTTGCAATGGCCTTGTCGAGAGATATCAGGGTCGGGTCAGGCTCATAGAAGCCAAAGCTGAAATTGACCACGGAAGGGCGACGCGAGGCTTGAACAGCCCGCATGATGTAGGCGATTCCAGCCAGTCTGGGATGAGTGACAGGGGGTTAATTAGCGCGGGAGGAAGTTACAGTGACCAGCTTACGTGGCAGTCACCGAACCGTTCCTAACAACAGGAAATGGCAAACTTCAGTGTCGATTTCCGTAGCTCTCTGAACCGCCTCACCCTTTGGCATCGAAGACCTTGACAGCGATCAGGTGTGCATTCTTGAAGACCCCAGCGTGCGTGCCACCTGCGACACTAGCGACCTGCGTGCCGTGGCCGTTGTCGTCCACGTTCTGGTGACCATTGAGTTACAACCTGTTCACCATGTTTCAAGGATAGAAGCATACGGGGAGGCCTTTGTAGGTGTAACCCCATGAGGCACGACTTCCGAACTCGATGTGCGAAGTGAAGATACCGGTATCTGCAGATCGCGTCACCGTCAGGACATTATGTCATGATTTATGAGGGTGCAGTGTACTGACCGACTATGTAGATATCCACAGGGTTGCTTGCACCAATGTAAGTGTACTCGAACTTAAGCCAGGGGCGTTGGCTGATCCGGTTCAAGCCCCACGGTGCAGGTCCCCTACGTCGCGACATGAGTGCACTCAGCCAGGTACTCGCATGAGTCTGAATGGCTTACTGCACTATCTTGCTGAACAGCGAGATTTCTGCATCCTATTTGTCGAGCAATTCATCCGGTATGCGTGGACATGATGGGTGACATATCTCACCTCCTCGATCCTCTCCACGTCGGAAGAGGTACGGAGAGCGGCGAGGGTTTGCTCGTTGAACTTGCCCGAGAACGCGTTCATGAAGGAGTAATCATCCTTGATCTCCGAATCGCCAGAGAGTCGTTGACGAAGCCACTGGAGATGGGCGGCCATGTCGACGCTGGCCTTCAGATGCACGATATAGCTCGACTCTTTCTTTGCGCCAGAGGCGCAAACGACGTCGATGGGGTTGGTTTCATGGGCCATGATGAATGGATGATACTGAAGAGGTCAGTCGAGGTTCTGTACGTTGTATGGGGGTGGGGGATTGATGACGGCCTCCGTGTTCTGAACTGGTAGGCTTAAGTAGCCCATGAGCTCGACATATGCATGGAGTTGGGACGTATGACATACGGCGGAAGAACTGACCGAGATATGTCGGCATCACTGGGCCGGTCATTGCGAAGATAGAGGTATGTTTGTCATGTTGTCCATTCCTTCCCTGTGTCCGATACTTGACGTTAATTGCCAGCTCGGTGGTCCGGGCCATTCAAAACTCGGCTATGGCTGAGAGCAGGCGCCCATCCCGTCCCCCGTTTTCCGGGCAAGTCCTGGACCGGAGGGATTAACGTAAGGTCTGCCAGCCTCAAGCTCAGAAGCCGTGCAAGCTCTTCCTGATGTGATATCGTGAATGACTCGTGAATGACATGTTCATGGCAACATCTGTCGGGGGATATATAGAAGAAACATCAGCGCAAGATCGTCCGGCTGGTGAGCCCGGTCACGACGTTGACCCACCTGGTAGCATCGTCAGCCAAAGGTGTGGGTGGGCACCACATGATGTAGGGTATCGATTTGAATCTGTACGGCTTCGCACTTTCCTAAAACAGCGACACCTCTACAGACTGACTGGAGGCGACTATTAGCATTAAACGACGCCAACCAGACATTCCACGAAGCAAATTAGTAGTGCATGGAAACAAGAGTGCCATCACCTCAGACGACTGAGATGTCTCCGTAAACCATCATGACTTTTCGACCTCGCAATCAGCTCATTGCTCACCCGCTGCCGCCTTGACCGCCGCCCGCTTCGCGTGGCAGATCACCCCACTCGCGCTCTCGGCACCTCGACGCTCACGTTCACATCGCGCGGTTTACCTCGCTATGATCCTCATCACAATCTCCCTTGGGATAGTCTCAAGCGCGCCCCTTGCCCTTGCCTTCCCGTTCACTCTCGTCTGTAGGTGCGCTTGGATCTGCGGGCCATCTTGACGTCAAGCTCGCTGCTGCGCGGCAGGATGTGCCACGGATACCACCTACGCATTGGCTTTCCCTTCGTGAGCGGTATCCCCGTGACAGGCTTCAGCGAGGACTCGCATCCGGGTCCACGCTACTGGAGTCTCGGCAGATACAGCACCGTGTCCGCGTTCGAACTGAGGACCCGAGTGATGCATCAATTCCAACATATTACTCACTCACCCATACAGTTGGTACCGCATGCCGACTCGAGTTCCCAAAACCCAGGATGCGCCTACATTCGCCAGACGTACTTCGCGACCGAAGAACTCCCTTGCTGAGTTCACCTAACCAATCGACGCCAAGGATCACTTTCCAAAAAAAGAAGGGTGGATGGCGCATTGCACAGCGCCATTTGAATTTGAACTTGGACTTGGACTGCAACTCGGAGGGACCGCAGGTCGTGAGGTGCGGAGATGAGGTCGTGATTGAAAGACCGGGTGGCGAAGTGTTGGACGAGCGCACTGGCAGAACGTGGTTGTGGCGGCGGTAAGCGCGGCGCAGACGGCCCGCCGTTTCCCCAGCCGCCGCTCCAGCGTCAGTAAACGCACGGCAGGTAGTGTTGCCGCCAATTCGAGTCAGCCAAGCCAAGCCGGTGGAGCTTGATCAAGTAGGGCAAGCCAGCCGGATCCAGCCGAGCCGGCGCGCAGCTGATTCGTAGCCAGCTACCCAGCTCGCGCCCAGCTCGAGCTTGATAGCTGGCTGGCTGGCAAGCTATGCACCATATATGGAACTCAGATGCGCGCAGCTTCGAATGTGAGTGCACGGAAGACATAGGCAATATATACATCATAAGTCATGTACAGCACAATCACTAATAGCGGAGAAAATGCGCGGAAGGCAGGCGAAGCGAAATCTCCGGACAGGAGACAAGCGTTATGTCTCGACATCAGTGTCGAGATCATCTAGGGTGAGCTCCTCAACACGAGTAACAATGTCCCCAAAGAGGTCCAGACGCTCCTGCCTATACCGGAATTTCAAGATCTGAAGGGCCTCCATCAGTACCGGATGCAGACGACTCCGACGGAGCGTGTCCGTTTCCTTGCTGGATGAAAAAACTCGCTCGCAAACAACGCCGGAAGCCTGTGCGGCTAGCACGTCACGGGATACTAAATAGAGATACCGAAGTGATTGTTTTCGTGTCTATATCGAGAAGTCAGTTGAATCATAAGTGAAAGCCGGAGTACTGGTAAGAGAAGCTCACGGTCCAGTAATAGTACAAATCATTGTTCTGAGATATATTTGGGATGATTTCGTCTGGTTCTGCAAGATACTCGTCAAACTCGCATGCAACCACAGCGCGGTCTTGAGTGAGACGCTCAGCCTCGGCCAGCGCGTCAGAGCCGATGGCCATCGGCTGCATTTCAGCATCAGAAGTAAAGGTTGCGAGCGATTTGGATTGATGTACTGCGGGAAGAGATGCAGACCGCTGGATGCGCTGGTTGAGTTGCTGCAATCCAGCGAAACCACGTCCAAGAGACATGCTTGCCAGAGCGGATGAAGTATACACCATTGTTGAACCCGGGGGGCGAAGGCCTCTCCCACGGGTGGCAACGACAGCGGATAGCCTGCAACTCACCTAGAAGGGTTGTTGGTTATAAGAGGCTTGTTAGAGCGATGAGAGGAGACGTTCGAGTGAACTGAACTGTAGATTTGGGGTACAGAGGTCCCCTATATATACTACTGTACATCTGTGGCTACATAGTACTATACAGTACATTCCCAGGATGCACAGTCGCACAGAGAAGCAGTGCGTACACAGCGAAGCTGTGTGTGTACCACATGAGTAGTACAGCCTCGGTTATTGCAGTAACCGGCTGTGCCGTTCCATATCTTGTGACGGCTGTGTTAGGCAAGCTGTGTAAACCAGC